ATCCTAGTTTTTCAACCAACAAATCAGTTATGATTTCCTAAATTCATGTTATATATATCCAAATTTTCAGCACCTTTCTTTCTATTTTTCCCACTTGTTGATTAGTCGATTAGGTTTGAGGACAGTAAGTCCCAAAAGTTTGGCTGAAGGAAAGGACATGCAACATATAAATCAATTTCTAACATGCTATTCTAGGTGCAAGTCTTATTAGGCTTTACACATGGACTCCCTCCCAGAAAAATTTTGCCTTTGCTCTATGTTGGAACTGATTTTACTTGATAATGTGGTCCTAAAAAATTTGACCATAGAACTGCCTGGGGGAAAGATGTTAGATATCCTCTCAGAATGAATCATCCCAAAAGTTTTAACTAATAAGAATGGCCTAAAATACTAAACCAATCTTCGGACTTTTCTGGCAGTGAATCTTGTTTGCCTTTTATTTCTCTCAGTTTCTAGAAATTGAATGACATCCATGACCTTATGGCACTAACATTTACCAAATCAATCATGCCATCCAGGAAAGTTGTGAGTTGTTGAGTGAGATTATTATTCCTTCACCAAACAATTTTGCATCCTGGAGCCTTCTGTTAATTCTCAGTTAATGCTTTGATATGAATTAAGCCTAAGAGATATACACAGATATCTATAAACTTATATTACCCTGAGAATATTATTGAGCATATTAAAATGCATTTTTGCTTCATGACATTTAGGTTGTAAAAATTTCTTTATGCTTTGTTTTTGTCCAAGACTTGTCCAAATTTCAAATTCAGTCTTATGTTTATTAAAATTTCCTGCATCTTTTTTTCCTTTATTAATGTTGAGTGTGTGACCTTGTCACTCGATGGTGCTATCACCGTATCATGAATGCATAGTATTCATCATGTTGATAATTTCCTTTAAAAGAATACATTTTGACTCTGCAGAATTTGGCAGATGAACTCTGATAGCAGATGTTGATGTCTTGTAATTTACATCCTTATGAAGAAAATGCACCTTTAGCATTGTTAGCATAGTCTAGATGTGTGAGACTTATTCTAGGGTTTTTATAAAGAAGTTTATGATTTTTGGCATATGAAAATGTAAAATTGTTGGAGCTATGGTATGATTCTCTGAACACGTTAATCTGGTCTTTTAGCTTGGTTCACAACCATTTGATGCTGCTGGAGTGATATTTGGCTCACAAGCATCAGAACCTGAGTGGCTGCAGATGCATGTTGGCGGAAATTTTGAAAGGGCAACTTAATTTGGAGAAACCTTGTTGGCAATCAAAGCAACTAGAGTAATCTGTTTGTTGTCTTTAGATCAAAAAAGGTGATTGGTTACATATGTTGCAGAAATGTGTTTGGTAAATGTGGTCTTGTTCTTAAATTTGTAATATCACATCTTGTAGAAAATGCATCTGACTAGATACAGACAGAAAACTCCAAATTGTATCAGTTCCTAAACAAAAATCTTCTGCAGTGCATTCCGTTTCTGAGGGTTGTGCCATCTTGAATACATTTAACCGGAGATCCTATTCTGATCCTGCTAGGGATGTTGCCAATCCCTTACTGAAGCTACTTTTTCTTTTGTTTGTGTTTTTCTTCCCCTCATTTTGCATTTTGGCTCTATATGCTCAACCAAAGATCCTACCAGAAATTAAGATGGAAGGTGACCTGAACCCTCAAGGAGGGATTTCCATGGTATTGCAACTAAACATCAGTAGTGTAAATAATAGGTTTCAATTGAATTCTCCTTTCCGTACGTTCAATAATCAAATATGAAAAAACAAAAACACAGAAAACAGAACATAATGAGAGAGGTAATACAAGGCCAGTCAAGTAGCAGGGCAGGACCTACAAATTTCTTATGAGTTACGACCCAAACTTGGATCGTATAGTATTGATAAGATCCGTATCCACTTGGAAGGTCTTGGTTAACACTTCGCTTGGAATTGAAGAAGCAAAGAGATTAAAGGGAACAACCGCAGCACCAGGCAGGTGGCTGTTGAAAGCCGTGTAAGCCAGTGCCTTCCCTTCTCCAACGTTAAGTTGGAAGTGCACAAGTCCCCGAGGGATCACAAACATCTGCCCTGCACTCAACACTTTAGAGTAAAATGCATTGTTAGTGGTCACGAAACCTACAAGGAGCTTCCCTTCAATTACCACACCAGTCTCGCTTGCACGAGGATGCGAATGAGGAGGGTTGATTCCACCAGGGGCAAAGTCCACCCGATTCATCGCAATTCCAAGAGTATTTAGCCCCGGGAACGTAAGGACATTTGCTGGTGTCAGGGAGGATGCGAAGATGTTACTTGTGTTACCTTCTTTGGTAAAACCATCAAAGAAAAAGTCCTCCGAAGTTACTTCGGATGCTGGTTTGCAAGGGAAACCATTAACAGATATAGAGGCACTGATGTTTGCTACACAGAAGTCCTGTAAGGGATCGGGGTCAGCTGAATGTGAAGGTGGAATTAGAAGCCAGACCACTGAAAGGCAACATAGTAGGTGGAAGCGCAAGCTCGATATGAAGGAAGCCATGACCTGAATTTCTCTCCTTGAGAATACAGTTAGAGAAGATAACAATGGGCCATCATATATGCTTCACTAGTCTAAAGGTCAACAGTAAAATAATGCCAAAAATACAAACTTGGTGGATGTTAGTTAGCCCTTGACATGGGACAGGATGCATATTTACATCTTGCCGCAAAGGAAACGCAGACTAAGAGGAAGATATTTAAGTAAAGAAAATGTCCCAGGCAGAAAATCAACACCTACTCTTTAAGATATTTGACTAAAAAGGGCAGGGAAGACTAAGTCTTTGAGCTACAATTTTCTAATGAAGTTAAGAGCTTGACGATGATAGTTGCAGCCAATAGATTGGAGGGGTGCTTTTGGTAATAGCTTGACAAGTTTCAGCTTGACTCCTTCAAACTGAATAAAGTTAGAAAGCAAGCTTTATTGAGACACTAGTCAGTGATCGTTCACGCAATAATGCATTCCAGTGCCCCAACATCCATTCTCATAATGGTTTTAGCATCAAGACTGCAACTCATCACCAAACTTCAACCTTTGTGCGACTTCTAAAGCTAAACCTTATGTGAAGATGCATAAGGTTATTGGACATACTACGAAGTCTACAACCTTACTTGAGCAAATGGAAACTATTACCTAACCTGTTGATCTCGGACTTCGTTCACATGGGCATCTTCTTCAAATAAAATTCCAAGGTGCATGGGCCTGACCAAGTCAATTGACTCTCAGATTCTGACAAGGGTTAAGAACTACGGGTTTGGTAGCATCTTCGAGAACACACTATTAATACCAAAAATATGGTGGAAGAAGCTTTCAATTTGGTATTGTCAAAGAGGATAGTTTTCTTAAAGAGATAAAAACAATGAACGGGCATTATTCCAAATGATGCAGAAAAATTATTAGAAATTCCAGTATTTTATACTATTAAAACAAAATAAATGAAACACGCAACAAACTGGACTGAAAAATTTATTTCAGTGAGAATTTGCAACATGTTTGCGTATATCAAGGATCAAACCCAGTCTAATACAATAAAAATTTATTCAGAATCCATACCAATTATAGCTCTACTTCCTGCAGGCAAAGGTCATGACTATTGACCAGAGGGCAAGCACCTGTGGCCTCTGAAAAATGGCACACCACAATTGTATCCCATTGCTTCGATAACACAAGTCTTATGCCATTCATATATTGTGGAAAAGACAACCCTCTCAAGATTTGCAGGCTATCCAAACTGCAATTTGAGGAGAAGCTTATTGAAGAAAGCACTAATATTTGACTTTGAGTCGCAACATTAAAGCTTCATTCTGCAAGGGTTAAACTAGTTATATGACAAAAAAAAAAAAACTCAGGCAAGAAGCAATAGAAGAGCAAGAGAACTCTACAAAAATAATACCTCTCTAAGGCAGATGGGCTAATGGGAACCACACCACATGGTGAAACTAGAGCATCAACCAATGCATCATTTGAAGTAACTGGTATAACTTCATCAATTATCTGCACAGAATAAGAAAGTGCAACTGCAAAACCAGAGCAATTTGTTGAAGAGAAGAATCAGAAATACTAAATGAGCTGAATGGAATGGCCAAGAGTGCGAAGGTAGACTAGAAGTAAGACTAGCATATATACCAAATAGTGGTTGCTTCCAATTCCTTTCCTTAGCAAGCTCTTTGTAGTTCTTCACGAAAGCATCATAATACCTTTTGAATTTCCATCGCATATGTCAACAAGAACAAAGCAGAAATTAGCAAGGAAATGTGGATTGTTGCAATCAGATATGCATTACAAGCACAGACAAACCCATGCAAAGACAAGATTTTACACCCATATATAGGCACATACAATGCAGATGTGGCTCTGCACTCGTTAATTACGAATTGATTTGGTAACAACAATTATTAATTCCCTATAGATATTAGATGATGGTTTGTTAACCAAGATAAGACCAGGGGCCACGGCCATAGATGAATGATGACTACTGCCTCACAGTTGGAAGTTCAACAAATTGAGTCTGAGACCTTAGTTAGGAACCTGCCCGACACACACTGGTGTGATGTATCTCTAAAATATACAAGATTTACAAAACACTGGAGATTAAGTTAAGTGTCAATATAAATGGTCCACCCACCCTCCACCACGGCCCAACCGTCTTCCAGATCTGTCAAATGCAAGTCCTAGCAATATTGCAAGAGGAATGTTAGAAAAGCAAAGACAAGAGGGAGGAAAACTATGAAGAAAACAGGAGAAACAAATCTACCTGGCATAATGACCAAATCAACTGCATCATTTGCATGCATAACTGCACAAAGAATACAAATAATATTAGAAAAATGCAAATATGAAAGAAAAAATATAAACAAACAATAGCTCACTAACTTACATTCCTGGAGAATATATCAAATGCACAATCAAAATGAAGATTAAAATGTACCAAAATTAACATAAATGAGTATTTTGGCTTAGATTGAGAGAATGATTTGATGAAGCTTACGTTAGGCTAGGGAAAAGGGAAGTTTACCACTGTTGATGTAACAAACAAGGCCTTACAAAAGAAGTAGTAGAGAATTTTTAAAGAACAAGCATAAAACCATGAATCATTCAAAGGGCATCACGTTAAATAGGTTTTCTTAGGAACCTTGGGGCTTCTCCTTTTGCTACTTGTATTTTACTTTGGAAAGCAGAGAAGTGAAAAACACATCTGGGTGTAAAAGCAAACAAGGTTTTAGATAAATTAAAAACTAAAAATGTGAAATGTTTCAAAGAACGAAATTTATGACTTCAGTCTTACATAGAAGGATTAAGTTAGAAGTGGTATGGCATTTCAGTCACTTGTTAATTTGTAACCAAGTATAGTTTACTTTAGAGGGGACTCCTTTAGTAAGCGAGAAGCAAGTAGCGGAAAAACAACAAGACAGAACTGTATTCAATGATAAGAGGCAAAGCATGGTAATATGCGGAGATTAAAATGTATACCATCTTCACGTTCATTTCCATCGGCATCAACTGGAGCCGGTTCCAAAATGCTCATCGAATTCGCAACTAAATCATCAATGCGTGAGATATAGAACATCCTCATGTTACAGTTCTTGTCCTCTACACGCGGAACATAAACCTTTGTTGCAGTCTGCAGCATACTACCATCTAGCATCAAGTCGAAAATGGATTATACAAATTGCCAGAAATAAAACAATAAAACACCCAAAAATAAAGAACAATTACTATTTCCATACTACAGAAGAAACCTGCCGATGGATTCTGCAGAACTTGAGACAACAATTTTAAGGTATCGACTTCTCGTAAAGCACTGCAGCTTATATAGGCACATAATCTCTTACTTGATTTAAACCATGGAGCTTCCAAAACTAAAGTCTGAATTACATTATCTACAAAAAAAACACAGAAATTTGGGTTTGGGTTCAGAACTGTCATTGATTAAATGTAACCGAGGATCAAAATGATGGGGTTACCTTCTTGGGATCGGAGGGATGGGTCCATGGACTTGAGGGCTTGGCGGATTTTGGAGCGGAGGATCCGTTTTTGCTTGAAAATGGATTCAAGATGGTCTTGTTCTTGGTTGCTGTTGGACATTGCCACGATGGAGGTTCGCTGGCTGGCTACTGGATCGGAGGATGGTTGCCGATAAAAAGGTGCTTTGAAGTGGGCTGTGGTGCAAGACATCCAATTCTATCACAATTGCAGCTTAATTTAAAACTTTTTTTATAAGGATAAATGAGGGCTAAACATTTCAACACTTTTTTAATTGAGAGTTAAATGTTTTAATTGTAACAATTTAAGTGTTAAAAGTTTACAATTTTTTACAATTAAAAATTAAATTTTTAGGTGAATAGAATGTGTATCACATACTGCATAAAAGCATATGAGTTGATGATAAGACAACTAACTTAGCATGTTATGCAAATGACATTGTTTTGATCTAAATTTTGTACCTAATTTTCTCTCAATTTTACCTATTTTGCTTCATCTCCTCGCTGATCTAGCTCTCTTCTCTTCAAAGATGGGCGCATTGATGATCATAGGTAAGGCAATGCCAACTTATAACATCGAACATTGTGAAATCTTGTAAGACAAATGTCAGTTAGCATTCTAATCGAGTTTATTAAAGACATGGTCTAACGTTGTTTCCATGAGTGACACAAGCAAGGCGTCAAAGTTTCCATGCCCTGCAGGCCTTGGGCTATCTCTCGATTGAGCCAAAAATTCAATGAAGCATATTATTTTACAATTAAACCTATCGATCGAGTGGATGATTTATATATGAATGAAGTGTTGATATAGGAAAATTTGTATAATTTTTGGATGTCTGTGAACTTCTCCTTGGAATATGCAAATATGTGAGATGCCAAGCCTGTATAATGTGTTGTTAAACGCCATGGTAAAAAAAGTTATTTCACAACACGCCAAAAAATGATGTTGTTACTCACTATTTTCAAAATAATTTTTACATAGCATGTTGAAAATGTTATTGTTACACACCATGTTGAGAAATTAGATTTAGGGTTTTTATGAAAAAAATGTTGTTAATGCCATGTTGAAAAATGTAGTGTTACATGCCATGTTCTAAAATTTAGTTGTTACACATCATGTTGGAAATAATTATTACATGCCGTGTTGAAAATATAGTTGTTCATGCTATATTGAAAATTTAATTGTTACACGTTATGTTGGAAAATGTAACTATTACACTTCATGTTGAAAATTTAGTTATTACATGCCATGCTGAAAATTTAGTTATTGCAAGCCATGTTAAAAATTATAGTTGTCACATGCCATGTTGAAGATTTAGTTATTTCACACCATTGACAAAGGTGAAGTCCTTCACTAAACCATTGACATCTTTAAGGTTCTTCCCTACTTCAACCAAAGAACCATTGTAATGAAACCATATGATGCATAATTGATAAGCCATTTTGTTCAAAATATAAAAAATGTCATGATTAGACAAATTTTTTGACCTTGACGTGTAACAACATCATTTTTTCAATATGATGTGTAACAACAACTTGTTACATGTCAGTACCAATTATCACAAATAAGCTACATGCCATTTACAAAATTTATTTCACGCCATGTGGAAAAATTGTTCAATGGTAACCTTACTGGTGGCAACTATTAAAGATAAAACATGAAAATGAAAATGAAAATGTAGGGCATACCTAACTATTTTTGGTTTAGAAAATGGCAACAAGATGACGATGATGGGAACCCACAAACAAGCGACATTTGATAAACTGATAGCGACAAATTGATACCTAGTTGGATGGTGAAACGATGGAGGGGGAAAACAATTGGAGAGGAGAGGAGGCAGAGTATGGGTAATTTGGGTTAATGGTGGTAAAACTAAAATGGTGAGAAATTTTAAATGATGGGAGTAATCAAATAAGGGAAAACAGAGTACTTTTGGCCTAGACAAAACGATGTCATTTGCCAAAAATTCAATTCACCTGCCACATCAGAGGCAAAAATCTAAGTCGACATCCACGTCATGCACGTGTCTTACACGTGTCAGACACCTCTTACCTTAGCCTTTAATTGTAAGGAACCAAAAACGATTATCTCTTGATTGTTACAATTGAAACGTTTGGTCCTAAATTGACAAAAACTAAAAGATTTTGGCCTCAAATTGAGCATTTAGTCTTTTCTTAATTGAAATAAAACTTTGATTATTTAATATAAGCAAAATCCTAACTAAAGAAATAAAATCATTATATCATTTGTGTGTTTGAAGTTGCAATATTCCCCAACATCATGTTCGAGTTGTAGTATATCTATCACATCCATTTTAGGGACAAGATGCATGTAAGGATTATGTAAGTATGACCCGCATAATCACACATATACTATTCATCTGAACATTCACACATAATCACATAATATATTTTTATACATACATACATATGTAACACTCGATAATGAAACTTCTCAACATAAGGTGTAGAAACGATTTCCTTTATATAACCACATCTGTATATATAGTTTTCATGTTTTAGTCCATATAAACATGCATACACACCATTGGGTGTCCATATGGGCTATCGAACTATCGTATAACATTCATCTATATATTTTTATAAAATAAAATGTCATCTATTGGCTACATCATCATAAACATATTCAACCACATATAAGCAAAAAAGTAAAGATTAACTCATCAGTGGAACATAACTTGACCTTTTACGCTTCAAGTGGGCTACTATAACATCTACCAAGAATAACCTAGAACTCATCTCCATGACAAAGGTAGCAAGCTAATCGTTGATTTGTAAACATATGAGAAAACTAACAAATGAGATACAAAGACTTTACAAGTGAATACGGAAAAAGAACAAGCAAATTTGAATAGCTTTTGCACAAATCACAATTTTTAACATAAACATGAATCTCAAGATAAGCACAACTTTCTTGTAAAATCCTTGAAAAAATATTGAGTTCTCATAAATCAAATAATCTTCTTAGTTGAAATCGATATTTCATGAACATAGTCTGTAAAGAAAGGCTAAACACTTATGAAAAACTTTTATGAAAAACAAGAAAAGTTGTATTGTACTTAAAGCATCAAATCCTTTCTAAAGGATAGCGATACTAAGCTTTTAGACCCAAATTATGGGTACTCTTTTGTAAATTTCCCTATATCACCTAAATTACTTTTTTGGGGAATACTCATGTATTTAAGGTATTCTCTAGGATTCAACCATATAACAAGACACAGTCAAACATTGAATACATAACTCAAATCTGTGTCTTAGAACTTAGTTTGTTTATTAATCTATCATAACTATTCGTAGAATTCTCATTTGAAAACCTAACAAGGACAATGGTACAATCTCCACTATCTAGGATTATCGAAGATAGAGGTACGATCCCCTTATCTAGGATTACTGAGGATAATGGTACGATTCCCATGATCTAGGATATATTGAATGCACTGTGAGTGGCATCTTGCCTTACTTATACCAAGGATAATGGTTTGATCCTCGCTATCTAGGATTTCTTTGTAAACCATTTTAAGTGGCATTTTGTCAACCATTTTAAGTAGAAGGGCCGACACCTACTAGATACCATGATAATCACCTATGATGATTGATTGTAAAAGTAGCTCCCTTCAAAAAACAACGAACTAAGTAATCCACTAATTTGAAATAACAAGTTCATCTTACATGCGTGAGTCATAAAAAACTTCATGAGCAGATATGGGGAGGAGAAAGCTAATGGGGAAGAGTATTTAACAAAATACACTTTCAGAAATATGCAATTAAACATTTATTAAATGTTTTGCAAAACTTGGCTTTCCAAGCGTAACCATAAATCAACATTGTATTTCTAGGCATAATCATAAATTGAGTCTCGCTTTTCCAAGCATCATCATATAACAATCCCATTTTATCAAAGGTGTCAATTATCCATATGCTCTCCAAGTCCATTTGTCTTTCAAACGTATCAAGGACCGATAATCCCATACTTTCCAAGTCCGTTGTCCTTCAAAGTAATCAAGGAATGTCTGTCCACATAACCTCTAAGACCAATATCTTTTAAATGGTACAAGGATAGAAAATGTTTTTAGAACATGTAGCTTGTAAAATGGTTCATAGGCTTTTTAAAAAATATTTATAAGTTTGGAAACCAATTCAAGAAGTCGAGTTAAAATTGAGTTAAAAATCAATTTAGGAGTATTTGAAACTGTTAATAGCCTAAGCTTAAAGCAATATATACTAAAAAGGGGGTGAATTGTTATTTAAGAAAAATCCCTTTAAAGCAAGTCTAAAAATCAAATCTTTTGGCAACCAAAAATTCTTTTTGTGTCAAAACAAAATAGAGATTTTTCATAAGACAAATTGAAGCAATAAATCACAATGCAAAAAATTAAAATAAAGACACAAAGATTTTATAATGATTCGGCTTTCTATAATGACTACATCCACTCTTTGGAAACCAAGAAATTTTAAATCCACTCAAGGAAATATTCTTTCTACGAGATCAAGTATTAAACCCTCACAACGCTTTTTCACGAGAGCAAACAAAACCCTCAACAATGATTTTGAACAAACTTAACCATAAACCCACAAATAGCTTTTCAAGGTTAAGTTAGAAAATTTACAAGATGAGCATAAGAATATCAAGAATGTCTTTACAAAGGTTGGGTACTAAAGCTTTAAGCTTTGGGTATGAAGAAAAGAAATAATTTCACAAATATCAGCTCAAGGATTTTTAAATGAGTGAGTGAGCTTTTATGGCTTTTGAATGCTTGATGAAAGACTAAGATGAAGAAAGAGGCTTGATAGAGATTTCAAATGAGGTGCTGGTTTTCTTTTTCTTTAAAATGACTCAAAAGCTGTCTTTTATAGTTGCAATGAAGTGTAGAGATGTTAGACACATGTTTGAATTAAATCTGGCCATTGCTGAAGCATGAGAGATGACTACAACGCTCTTAAGGTCGACTATATTCTGCAAAATTCTCAAATTAGGGTTCCATAGTTGAGTACAACCTGTCTTTACTTGACCTAATTCTTGAGAGTATTTATTTTTCAAATCTAGGAACTCCATGATAAAATGAACAAGACAAAGCCCCCTATAATTCAGAATCTTGATAATTCAAAGTTTGATACTAATTCTAACTCACAAGCATGTGCATTAGCACTTGCATATATATATATTTGTTTTGTTCAAATCTAATTGTAGGGAAACTGATATCTTGTATATG